TTTTCCGCACTTTCGGCATTTCTGCAGATTCCGCACTTCTTCACTTTCGGCATTTCTTCAAATCGATACGTATGTAATGCTTTTCGTCATTTCTGCACTTTCCGCACGTCTGCAGTTTCGGCATTTCTCTTCAAGTCGATACGTATCTATTGCTTTTCGTCATTTCTGCAGATTCCGCACTTCCGCACTTCTGCAGTTTCCGCATTTCTGCATTTCTTCACGGTCGCAGGCTATGAACGCGGCCTAAGACTGCTGCCCTTGTACCAGCAAGTTTTGGCATTGAGAACTACGACAAAAGGTTGCAACAATTGCCAACACAATGGCGGCCGAAAGATGCGTGCGCTGAGCAGCGCTATGACTTCCAGTACATCTGAAAGAGTACTAACGTCGAAAACCTCATCAGTCAGAGTTGAGAAGATGGGTCCTTTTCACTGGTTTCGGAGGCGAATTTCACCCTTGTTTTATGAGAAATCCATTACGCCTTATTTATAACTTTACATTAGGTCGGAAGGGAAGTCCTGTCAGTGTTTTTTGACACTTTTCGGTTTCTTGATGCTCGAACATGGCGTAACATGCCATGCTTGTAGAACATTCTAGGAGCTTTCCTGCAAGAGTTGTGTGAGGGCGCCTGCACTTTCCTGGGTTCTAATTACGATGTCGTTTCACAGGAGCATCTTCGGGTCATCATGTTCTATCAGTGGCCCCGCGGCACTGGAGCAGCGGTTACTGTCCGCAATATCAGCGCGAGCGGCACCGGGGTAGCCCTGTTGGTCAGTCCCCTTCTCCCGCCTTCTCCGCCCTCGTCAAAAGGTGTTTCTGGGAGACTGCTTAGTGGAGATGACAGATGGGTCCTCTGTGATTTCAACCCACACAGTACCGTGTGTCTCTCTCAAGGAGAAGATCCATTCTAGCAGTCCAAACCGGGCATGTATTCCGAGAGGTTCTCCTGTGCTGCTCCTGGGACGCGAGGGGATGCTGCGGAACGAGCAGAACGAGCTGCCCTGTAAGAACACACGATCACCGCTACCATTTGTGTCGCTCAGCTCCTGAAACCGGTGGAAGTTGTTGGAGAAAAATGACCGAACTAGCTTCGGAGCACCTCGTTCATAGTACGCGAGACCCCATACCTGCTATGGAGACCTACCAAATAATTGAGGAGCAAGGCTGGGAGACCAAACCCCGCTCATCGTACTCTCCTGACGTAGTCCCCTACGACTGCTACCTGCTCCACCTTCTTAAGGCCTTCTTATCTATGAAAACTTTCAGCAACTTTGATGACATCAGTCGAGAGGCCGCTGACTTACTCTACTCGCAGCCTCCTCAGTTCTGGGAGAGGGGAATGCTTACCTGCCCATTAGGTGGAGCACTGTAGTGGCTAACTATGACGAGTATATTGTTGACTAATTCCCACTGTATGTTGAGTTAGAAAATAAAAAAGAAAAAAGTCACAACAGTGACAAGACTTTCCTTCCAACCTATACTCTACTACCCTACCACTTGGTTGTTAACCGTTAAAGGCAGTTGGCACGATGGTTTCCCACTCGGCCTAAAATGCTAGTAGGGCGCTATGTAGTGGGGAAATGGCGAAAGAACGGAGTGAAACGGTCAAAATCCGGCGAAGAAAAAGCCTCCGTTCTTCTTGTGTTCTCACTTGACCTGTGAAATGCTGATCTCTCGGACCGAAGTTCCCAGTAGGCATCTTACTCAATCACCGCCACCGAAGATACGGCTGCATATGTGTACCCAACTGTTATGCAGCAGCATCAGCCAGTTCACTAGGCGCCAATCCAAAATTCGCTTATAATCCTCTGTCTAGAGCAAATATGAAATCCGAAATTGAGAGCTGAAAACCACGATCGTCCATGTCTCGTGGGCGAGCGGGCGTGGCGGGCGTTTCCGGACGGAGTGCTTGTTGCTCAGATAGGCTTATAGGGGTACCAAGACTCCGTTGGAAAACGGAAGCGCCACCGAAAGAGCGTCTTCCGATCCGGTCACGGAAATCCTGCCAACACCAGTCCGTAAGAGAATCTACATCTGTATAGCGACTTTAATCGTGCCAATGCGCTTTAAAGGATACGCCCCGCGAATGGTCCTCCATCCTGAAAATGCAAGGCGTGTGTGTGGTAAGGTGGTAAGCGGGATCCGGGAGTGGACAACCCTGCACTAAGTTTTTTCAGCCGGAAATTGTACCGTTAAGGAACTAAGGCCAAAGTTGCTTAGTGGTTCACATTAACTTTTCCCATGACTCCAAGCCTCAGACTCGCCCTCCAACCAGTCGGCCTTTAGCAAAAAGTAATGATCCCGGGCAAGTATCATGGAAGGGCGATCGTGAGTCGGCAGAAAATTTTTGTCTGAGAAAGCGCTAGAGAAGCGTGACAGAAAGTCAGTGTTTCCAACGCCCTGTGTCTTCGGTATTTTTCTATAGGTTCACCCTTGGCGCAACACCCTTATCTTTCCTCAATTTCTGCAACAATAGCGCCCACCCTCTTCGCGTTCACTAAGCTTTTTATGCGCGTGAGCGCGTGCGCTTTAACAGGAAACGTGTATCTCTGAGGTATTATAGCTGATTCCGTTATATGCCACCATCAGCCGCCTTCCGCCCTACTGCAACTCCGATCTCATCGAGGTGAGGTGACGGGATTTTGATCGTATGTCACAAACAAGCCGCGTTCTCTGTCGCTATCTTCCACTACATAGCGCCCTATTAGAATTTCAGGCCGAGTGGGAAACCAACCTGCCAACGTGCCTTTAAGGGAGGGATGTGCTAATGAATGAAGCACAGTGGCAACATATGTTGTTCATGGCATCCGAAATGCGGCATCGTGTGCAAATTGGAACAAAGAACACCATCAGGATGAGGGAAGTGACGGTGTTAGACGACCATCCCCCCTCCGCTCATTTTTTCTTCCTTCGGTGGGAATCCCCTTCTCTTTATCCTACCTTTCATCTTCTAAGTTTTTCCAGCTTCCTACCACCACTTTTACCTCAACAACCGAAAGATTTTTCTAGCATTTTGGAGAAATTTCTGTCAAGATGAGACGAACCCATTTCCAGAATACGGTGTGCCCTGCTAGTAATGTCACTTTTGACCCTTGCCGCCACTTGGATGTGCTGAGCTACCCGTGATAGGTCCGCTTCTGCTCACACGATCAGTATAGAATGTGCCTCCAAACAACGTTCGAAAAGATAAAGCTTTAAAATTCATTATTAGTTTCGAACGATAATGGTATCCAACCGTTTAGAAGGTTCGGATAAGACCCATCCCGGTTCAGACGTCCATGGACGACCAAGTACAGATATCGTCGCCATTCGAAAGTACGTTCAGGCAGGAACTCTTGTGGTTTCACTGGCCACAGCTGAAAAAAAACACTTGACAAGATTTTAGGGACAAACTCCCAAGCAATAAATTTACCTCGTTCATCACTCGTTCTTCTTGCCATGAAAGTGCGCTGACGGGAGTGTACAACCTGCAATTATGTACTTTTTGCACAATAATCGCCTATTTCCCTTCAAGAGCGCGTTGTATTGATCAACTAGGACAAACAATCGATAATGGCTCTTGTTAGTTATTGTTAAAAAAAGACGAAGACGCTGTTAACTTACTTTCTTGCGTCTAGTACTGTTAACTCTTCTATCCATATAAATCCACAGCTAAGGACTGCTGTCATTATTAATGGTACGATAATGAATACCTGAATCACGGCGTTATCATTAGGATGTCCGGATTTTTCGAAAAAAGAGATTTTTATAGTAGTTTGTGGCTACCCTTGAGGCTGTGTTATGGTTTATGGTTTCTAAGTCGGTGTTCATACTTTGCGGATGCGAGCCCACGACTGGAAAGGCTAAGCGTCATAGAGAGCAGGGGGATAGATTAGCCCCACCCACCACCGCTTTTGGAGAAAACGACAATGTTAGACTCTTCCGTTGACCTCTAATTCCTTTCAAGCTCAATTTTTTTCGAAGCGTGAATATCAAAATTGGCGTCTGTGATAGGGGTGACGTGGGAGCCCTTTCTGAACTGAGGCCATTTGAACGCGCTCAATTTTGGCTGCGAGCTCATTCATGAAATGCCGAAATCACCAAATCCGCTGAATCTTGAATGCAGGGGTAATTCAACATCCTGATTACGAATATGACAATCATTCTTGGCACTGGCGCTAATGAAGGATTCTACGATTATTCACGTTCTGCTAAGGAAGAGCCCAGAAGATCGTAGTGTCCTCCATTAGCGCCAGCGTCAAGGAATGAATGTCATATTCGTAATCAGGATGTTAAATTACCTCTATATACAAGTTTTCAGCGGATTTGGTGATTTAGGCACTTCATAAATGAGCTCGCAGCCAAAAGTGAGCGCGTCCAAACGGCATTAGCACCCATTGTGCCATAAGAGGGCCCGGTCCGCAATAGCAGAGCATGTTCCATTTCACTTTCGCGACTTGACGCAAGCGCCACAGCTTAGCGGCGATAGGCTAACTCCGCCTCCATGAGCTGAATCCGCCTTTGTCGTTTGGTTTTACTATTGCTATATAGTGTTGGTGTCTCGATCATTTGTAAATCTCCCAACCAGGGTCAAGCATACGTCGCGGGATCCGCGAGTAGGGGTCGTATTCGGCCTCCCTTCTGAGGGGAGGGGTCGTATTTGCAGAGATCAGTACCTAATACTGCAAGGACGTAGCTTGCAGGATGAGTGATGCATTCGGAAAGGAAGTCGATTACATTGCACATTCCATGGGGATGTTGAACAGCGCCTCTCTGCTGCAGTTGCCTATTTACGGTGGGGAGGAGGACTATGGGAGGCCTACCGAGGTGTGAGCTTCGCATGCGGGAATATCCTCATGACGACTTTCAAATGGAAATCCGCGACGGGCGAATTTTCGCTGTAATTGGACTACAGCAAAATTGTGGTATGCTTCAGAAAGAAAAAACCTTATATTCACTCCACAACTCCATGTAGAGCTCTGTTCTACCTTATGTCTTGACGAAGTTATGGCCTCAGAAAGGTAAGGAACTCGCGCCCGCCGAAAAATTGTCCGCGTTATTCTCTATCCAGAAGCCGTCATGCAAGCTTTATGAAACCTGCAGTATATTTTATAGAGAATAGCCTGTAAAACTCGAAATGTTCTTATCGCTCTGCGAAAGGTGGCTTCTGAATGAAGTGATACCTTTTAAAAACACTATGTGAATGCAATGGGCCGACCATGCCTCGCCTTCGTGTTGTTTCATTTAGACGGCATCACTTTAAGGTTTTTGGAGGTTTCACTGTGTGCATTACATTACTTCTTGAAAACTATTCTCTTCAATTTTCAGTGTTTTTCTTCGATTGTTCTGGTAAATCTCCTTTGACACTCAGATACTCATTCGGTAACAGTCGCATAACACACAACATATACAGCAACATCCCGATAAACAGAGCAGATGCCTCCAAACGCTCCACAGTCACTGAGAGGGGGGGGGGGTCGTATGGACACTCCCATTTAGGGGAGAGGTCGTACCAACCCCACAATTTTCCGCGACGTGATGCTTGACCCTGCTCCCAACCACACAAAAACCCTTACTGTGCGCACGATAAGCCGCGGTATCTGATACTGCACATTCTCCACCGAGCAGAGGGCTGACCGTGTTTATTTATTTCTACTGAACATGTTTTCAGATGTTTTCCTGTATGCTAGATATATTCGGCCACGCAGCTAAAGCTAACAAAGCGAGCTAATGCTTGCAGTACTGATGGTGTATCCGGTCCCCGACAAAAATCTGAAGACTAGGTCAAAGGCAAGTGGCATAACTAATCGCCAAGGCGTACAGGGTCGAAGTCTAGCATGAAAAGATATTGTATCCCTTAAGCGCTGCGGGCCCTTTTCCAACCAAAGGTACAGTCATAGCGCCTAACCAAGGTGCAAAATTCCTCACCTCCACCGAGCCAACGCATCCGTCCGCCCACAAATGG